AGAAAACAAAAAATTGTATTTTTAATAAAATGTGTCCTATAACGTTGAGTAACAATAAATTTCTTTCAAAGATTGCGTTATGAACAAATAGGGCATTCTTAAAATGTCTTACCAAAAATATACCAGTTTATTCATAATTCATTCTAATCTTTGAATCTAGTGCATGATTAGCGACTAAATAACAATTAAATATAAAAATGCAAATTAAATTAAAACGCACTTACTATTTTATGCTGGTTTCAATAATTAGAGAATAATTTATTCATCTGCCCCTGCTTACAACAGGCAATGTTTGGTCGGTTGAATTAATTATTTTAGTCATTACTTAATTGTTACTTACTCAGTAATAACACACTGAACTAATTTATTTAAAAAATTCATTGCAAGTACTTAATATTTTAAAGAAATACATTGTAGGGTATATTACATGTAAAATCTTGATCCAACTGATACAATTCGTATCTTTTAGTTATGTGAATATTATTCACATGTGAGCAACAGTTTCAAAAATACTACCAAGTGCAAATCAATAAAGTGCAAAACTATGGGAAAAATTTGGCATCATAAATCACATTTTGTTCACTTTGAGCTACAACTTTAAGTCCCGAAAAAAGAATAGACAAAGAAATCATAGTAAAGATGTACACTTACTTATGGTTTCGCTGTTAATAATAGTACAAAAATTAAAACATTATGTAAGGATTATCAACATTTACGTTTAAGTTCTTAAAAATGTCCGAAATGCGTAGTTTTAGTTTCAATAAAATACTTTTTGTTCAGTTTCCATTATGAGGTAAAGTAAAATTATATCAAAACTGAAATAACATTATACTACCACAATGCTTATATCCTTCGAAATTATTAATAAATGTATCACCCATTGTATCCTAGGCTACGTTTCCAAATTCTTATAAATCCAAAATTTCTAGTACTAAAACTACATCAATCAAGGAACAAGAGTTATTATCAAGTACCTCTAAAATACAAAAAAATTTAAACATCTCTTCCCAAAATAATCGTTGATTATTTTTTCCAAAACCATAAATCTCTCCGAAAAACATTTAAAAAACAAGGAATCACGAATCAGCAACAAAATATTATACTTACAAGAAACTAGATCATCCCCCTTTACACGAGATAAAAAATAAAACAAAAAAGAGGTACTTGAATGGATTAATAAAAAAATTCTGATTCTAAATTATGTACAAGAATTCATCATAACAGTAGATCTTCTACTGTACCCTCTCCTAGTAATGGTTGTTCCTTGAGCTTCGCATTCTTTTCTTACCCTGTCTATTATATCCGCAACTAGTTTCTCTTCCTTTTCTCTCTGTTCTTCCCAATTCACAGGCTTAACTTCCTTCTTATACTTAACGGTTTTAGGACCGTCTGAAGGCGTTTCCACTACTTCTTCCTTAATAACAACGTTCGTATCATCATGGGACTCTACATCATCCGCGTGCCTCGCCCCCACGTGTCCCATAAAGCCTTTTCGACTTTTAAAAAATACATTGCAACGAACGCACTTAAACAACGGAGCAGGATTCAATAAATTATTCACATGTAACTTGTACTTATGCCGATACCAGTGAGTTCTACTGGCCAATACTTCGCCACACAATTTGCACGTTACACTACCGTCGTCTCTGATCATGTACTCTAAGAGTTCGCTTTTCTTCTTTTCGTACGATAAATTGTTATCCTGAGTAGAAGTGGCATTTTCTTCGTTATCAGTAAGGAAATGGACTCCTGCCACTGTTTCTACAGTCACTTCTTCTTCACTACTGCTTTCTCCATGAGCTGATTCCTGTTTAATAGCAGGAATTATTGCTGTGTGTTGTGTGCCCTGCGAAGAACTTTGATTTAGAAAATGTGATGGTATAATCTCGATCGTTACAGAAGACGACAGTTGATCAAGTTGTTCATTCTCCATTAATTCAGGATCTAAAACAAATTGATGAACATATATTTTTCTACACTATTCAATAAATTGATTCCTCTCTCAAATTGCAAAACATTTACTGTTTTGAATATTCTTTTTATCAGAGGTATATTAAAAATAAATTTATTAATAACTAAGAAATCACTTTGGTGTTTTCAAACAGTTAATTTAGGCTGCGAAAGGTATAATGCGTAGAGCAAGCAAACAAAAGGAACTATGAAAGTCAATACGAAAAAGTAGATAGAATGATAGTACACATTTTAAAACATGTAGGGATATTTAAGCAAATAAGAGACAGAAACAGGAGTAATGAGGGGCAAAGGAAGACCACTAAACTACCTTCCTAAATATAGAAATAGTTATGAAGTTGCGATAGATCGACTTTTTCAGTTGATATTAAAAATTTTCCCTTTAAATAGCTTAATTTAAACTCCAACATGATAGCAACCAAAAACCAATTACTATATACATTCATTTTCAAAAAATTGTCTGACTATTTACCTATAAATCTTTTAGGATAAAAAACTTTACAGCTTAAATGTAAATATTTCTGAACTGTTTTATTATTGCATATAATTCAAGAAAAAACGAATATGAGTTAGAGGTAGCTTTTATTAATAAATGAAAAATACAATAAACATAAACAATTTCCACTTTTCTGATTATTACTATCTGCATAATAAACTTTGTGAACTGAAGAAACTAAAGTAAATATTTAAATATTATATTTATTATAAATCGTTTATAAATCTGCACCACTGAATCTAAAACAACTAATGACAACATAAATAAAATTATGGAAAATAAAAAAACAAGTTTACTTAAAAAAAAAGAGGGAGGCACAAAAACGATAAGAAAACGAGTTACATAGCTATGAAATATTATAATCGATTAATTTTACTATATTATCGAAATTTAAAGCGCTCTTTTCGTCAATTTGTTATCGATAGATCTGGAAAATACTACAAAATAAAGTAACAAAGAAAACTAACATATACATAGCATTTAACTATATTTATACTATATGTATTGCAATCAGTGAAAAAAACTAACAACTAACCTTTCAGACATGCTATACTTTTACAGTTTCAAACATATATATCTATATACTAGTGTGCGCGTAAGATCTCAGAATTTTCAAATTTATTAATTGTAATTTGTTAAATGAAAAGGTCTGAACTTTGATGTTCTTGCACACCACTTAATTATTTGAAAATAATACAACGACCCGGAGTATCAAGTGCTGTATCGCTTAAAAAAGGTTAGACATGTTAGTAATAGAATCTAGTAATAACAAACATCTAAAATTAATTGCACTTAGATTAAACCTTACTTTAGTAAGGTCGTTCTGCTCCCTTTTCAACGTGCAGTACAGACCTAATGTGGAAGAACTGCGACAAATGGCTAAAAACCAGCCTTTTCAAACGGCAGAAAAAAAATAAAAAATTATAATGAACGAGGAGACGGAAAACTAAAGAGACTATCACACAGAATTTCTATGCTATTGCATTTTACAATAATTAATATTAAAATTATATCAAAACTGAAATAACATTATACTACCACAATGCTTATATCCTTCGAAATTATTAATAAATGTATCACCCATTGTATCCTAGGCTACGTTTCCAAATTCTTATAAATCCAAAATTTCTAGTACTAAAACTACATCAATCAAGGAACAAGAGTTATTATCAAGTACCTCTAAAATACAAAAAAATTTAAACATCTCTTCCCAAAATAATCGTTGATTATTTTTTCCAAAACCATAAATCTCTCCGAAAAACATTTAAAAAACAAGGAATCACGAATCAGCAACAAAATATTATACTTACAAGAAACTAGATCATCCCCCTTTACACGAGATAAAAAATAAAACAAAAAAGAGGTACTTGAATGGATTAATAAAAAAATTCTGATTCTAAATTATGTACAAGAATTCATCATAACAGTAGATCTTCTACTGTACCCTCTCCTAGTAATGGTTGTTCCTTGAGCTTCGCATTCTTTTCTTACCCTGTCTATTATATCCGCAACTAGTTTCTCTTCCTTTTCTCTCTGTTCTTCCCAATTCACAGGCTTAACTTCCTTCTTATACTTAACGGTTTTAGGACCGTCTGAAGGCGTTTCCACTACTTCTTCCTTAATAACAACGTTCGTATCATCATGGGACTCTACATCATCCGCGTGCCTCGCCCCCACGTGTCCCATAAAGCCTTTTCGACTTTTAAAAAATACATTGCAACGAACGCACTTAAACAACGGAGCAGGATTCAATAAATTATTCACATGTAACTTGTACTTATGCCGATACCAGTGAGTTCTACTGGCCAATACTTCGCCACACAATTTGCACGTTACACTACCGTCGTCTCTGATCATGTACTCTAAGAGTTCGCTTTTCTTCTTTTCGTACGATAAATTGTTATCCTGAGTAGAAGTGGCATTTTCTTCGTTATCAGTAAGGAAATGGACTCCTGCCACTGTTTCTACAGTCACTTCTTCTTCACTACTGCTTTCTCCATGAGCTGATTCCTGTTTAATAGCAGGAATTATTGCTGTGTGTTGTGTGCCCTGCGAAGAACTTTGATTTAGAAAATGTGATGGTATAATCTCGATCGTTACAGAAGACGACAGTTGATCAAGTTGTTCATTCTCCATTAATTCAGGATCTAAAACAAATTGATGAACATATATTTTTCTACACTATTCAATAAATTGATTCCTCTCTCAAATTGCAAAACATTTACTGTTTTGAATATTCTTTTTATCAGAGGTATATTAAAAATAAATTTATTAATAACTAAGAAATCACTTTGGTGTTTTCAAACAGTTAATTTAGGCTGCGAAAGGTATAATGCGTAGAGCAAGCAAACAAAAGGAACTATGAAAGTCAATACGAAAAAGTAGATAGAATGATAGTACACATTTTAAAACATGTAGGGATATTTAAGCAAATAAGAGACAGAAACAGGAGTAATGAGGGGCAAAGGAAGACCACTAAACTACCTTCCTAAATATAGAAATAGTTATGAAGTTGCGATAGATCGACTTTTTCAGTTGATATTAAAAATTTTCCCTTTAAATAGCTTAATTTAAACTCCAACATGATAGCAACCAAAAACCAATTACTATATACATTCATTTTCAAAAAATTGTCTGACTATTTACCTATAAATCTTTTAGGATAAAAAACTTTACAGCTTAAATGTAAATATTTCTGAACTGTTTTATTATTGCATATAATTCAAGAAAAAACGAATATGAGTTAGAGGTAGCTTTTATTAATAAATGAAAAATACAATAAACATAAACAATTTCCACTTTTCTGATTATTACTATCTGCATAATAAACTTTGTGAACTGAAGAAACTAAAGTAAATATTTAAATATTATATTTATTATAAATCGTTTATAAA